CCTTATTGTGGGGAAAAAAAGGTAAAGGTTGCATAGAGCTCCCTTGAGCTGCCATCTGGTCAAATGGCCCTGCTTGAAAAGGCCATTTGGCGGTTTCCAAAATTGGAGTACTCTTTTGGGGATTCTTATAATAATGACTATTTTTTTGGGGTCTATATCATTAGGGTCCCCTTGTTTAGGGAAACTACCATTTGTTCAAATGGAGTTCTTTTTGAGTCTCTCGTGTCGATGTAGACGTGCCCGTAGAATCGTGTCACCGTGAAATGAATAGAATCCCTGTGCATGGCTTGTCGCAGAAATGGTTCTCTTCGAAATCTGTTATCTCATTTGGAGGCTCCCCCATGAACCTCATCATGGAAAGTGCAAATTCCCTGCACAACCTCTATTTCACATAGTCCTGATGAAGAGATATGTAATGGGGTTTGCTTGTATCCTCGCAGAAATGATAAACAAATCCCCTATGTATCTTATGGGGCGCTGTAGGACCCTATTGAATGTATTTAGGCCCCTTACCCTGGCCCTCCGAAATCTTGAGACCTACATGCAGAGCTTTGCAAAAAGATGCAAAAAGATTGTCATAACTACTCAGGCCCTACCCTAAACCCTCAGCCCGTTCGTGCAGACGGTCAAGGTTTCCTAAAACCTTAATCTCCCAGGACAGGTCCGATGAAGCCGCGGCCGGTGGCTGCTTGGCGGCTAAGGTCACCTCCTACGGGTTAGCAAAGTATTAAGAACTGCATCCCTACATCAATCCCTTGGAATCCGAAATAACGGAGATATAAAGGTAATGTCAGGTTTTGCGGCAAGGCTTGCGATTACAATTAGGAAGAAGACGTTGAGTTGCACCCGGAAAGCCAGTGGGCAGAACGCCAAGTTCTTTTTTGCCTTAAACCCTAAACCCTGAACCCTAAACCTCTAAACCCTAAACCCGGAACCCTTAAACCGCTTTGCTTGTTCACGTCTTAAGGCGCCACCGGCCAAGCCATCCCCGCCACTTCCCGCCGCTGAGACTGGGCGAGGCGGGTTCAGAATTTGATCCAAGGTTTTAAATTGATATGGGGGGATGTCAAAATTGTGGTCCCTTTTTGGGTCCCTATTATAATACGGCACCTAATATTTAGGGTACCCCAAAAAGGGATCATAATTTTGACAACCACCCATATTAATATTGGTATAAGTAGTAGTATTATCTATTATTAATATCAATATTGATAGTACTATTAGTTTTAGTAGTAATATCATTTTTAAAACAGAGTTGTTTGCCAATTCTGTTACACGGACTCAGTACGGTTTACGATGGTTTATGTCTACGTCATTCTGCCCTGTTCATGTTTGTCAACTTCATGCGAGCAGTCTATGGAGCCGTCAGCTTTTGTACCTTTTGCAGGTTACAGTTTTCCTTCAAGTTTAAAATCCTTTCCGAACCTTGGCATTCAAAGGCAAGTAGTTTTCGGCCCCAGCCTTTCCAGATCCTGAAGAACTTTCCATTACTCCATATAGAACCCCAATATACTATAATAGTTTCCATTTTCTTCTCCATTATCCCGACATAGCCCCAATATACTATAGTAGTTGGAGTGCGGGGCGTACACGCCCGTGCGTTTTTATGCACTTTTTAGGGTTTCGGACGGTTTCAGGGGTGGGGGGGTTGTGATTTGGTCACTTTCGACCTTCCACATTTTGCAGGGCTTCATGGGCGCGGGGGTCATAATTTCGTTCCTCGGGGCATTTTACGTCTTGAGGGCTGCATGGGTGGGGGGTTATAATTCCGCTTTTTGGGACATTTTGCGTAGTGAGGGCTGCATGGGTGGGGGGGGGGTCATAGTTGTTAAAGCATATGCTCTGCACGTCTTTGAAGGATGACACTCAGGAAGAACGTGCATCTGCTGCCTGAAGGGTTTTTAACAAAAACAGATATTTCTAAGCCGCTAGGGTTCTTCTCCTTTCCCATCCTGGGGGTCGCCCTAGCCCGATCCCCTGTGTGGTTTGTTGGGCAGGGCTGTACAGGGTTGGGGGCTTCATTCGCGGAAATGTCTAAGATCCAGACCTGCGCCTTGGAGAGGCGCGAGCTCAACCGCAACCGTCTCTGACTTGTCTTGTTTTGGATTGCCAAGACTTGGATATTCACTCGCGAGTCTCCTGTTGGGTCATGAGCAAGCGAGTCATACTTGAAGCGAAGAAGAACATGGAAAGACACAGAAAAACAGGCTGCGACTGCCTCAAACCCAACACCAAACCGATCGTGAACCAGCAAAATCTAGCTCGTCATCTGCGTTTCAAACTGCTTGACGACCCCAAAAAATCGGGGGTTTTGCAACTAAAATTCTACTGTGCTCAGAAATCACACGCCTGCTATAGTTTCGTGTACATCAGAAGGTGTCCGGTGCCCTCCCGCACCACGGGCGCGTACGCCCCGCGCACCTAGTAGTTTCCATTTTCTTTTCCATTATCCCAATATAGACCCCAATCTACTATATCATATTATATTATACTATATTATAGTACATCATAGTACATTATAGTATCTTCTAGTATATTATAGTATATTATAGTATATTATAGTATATTATAGTATATTATAGTAGATTATAGTATAATGCGCCTGACGTGGAAAGCATTTGAGCCAGGCCTTCGCAGTGGTCGGCAGGGCATGGGAGGTCGGAGGAGTTTGTAATTTGACAGTAAATATAGTATATTGGGGTTTAGGGTTTAGGGACTACTATAGTATATTGGGGCTATACTGGGATAATGGAAAAGAAAATGGAAACTATGGAGATTATAGTGGTTCTATAAGGTTCATACAAGGATTATAGGGTAAAAATTGGGGCTATATTGGGATAATGGAAAAGAAAATGGAAACTACTATAGTATATCGTGAGATGTGCACATACATTGCAGCTACCTATACGTATATACGGATAATCTCATGGCTATGTATGTATATGTATATAAATATAAATATATATATATATATATGCACATGCTTGTGTAGAGAGTGAGCCACACATTGTGAGTCATGTGTTAAAGCATCGTATGCGGGTTTCGAAAAGTTAACGGTCCGCTTGTGGCGGATCATAACGCGTTGGGGTCTAGATTGGGGACTGCTATTTATGGAAACTTCATTGAATGTACCCCTGAATTCTCTTGCAATCCCTGTAAAGCCCTTGGGTATCTAGCATATCATTTTTAACCCTAAGCCCTAGCCCTAAACCCTGAACGCCCATAGAAAGCAGTGCTCCCAGGGCTGCTGCGCCCAGCTTCGCTGCCGGTTCTACGACCCGAGCTGCTTGGCATCCGCCCAAGCCTCAGCCCAAAGCCTTTGTCAGCTGCATGCGTCGACCCCCAAAACGGAAACTACTATAGTATATTGGGGCTATACTGGAATGATGGAAAAGAAAATGGAAACTATTATAGTACATTGGAGTTCCCAACCCCCAAAACCCCAAAACCCCAAACCCGAAGCCCTAAACCCCGAAACCAAGCAAACCCAGCGGAGTTTGCAACCATGGGATGATTTCTCCTGAGGGGATGAGTATTATGGGGGCGATGACCTCTTCATGCACGAGGCCTTGCAGCTGTGTTCTGCGATGTCTTGCAGCATGAGCCCTAAGAATCCCTGAAGTCCCTGGGGTTTAGGGTTTAGGGTTGAGTCATTGACTGCGCCCTGTCAACGTCCCAGCAGGACATCCTGCACACGTCCAACCCGAAGCTCTTTCCACTCCGGGAAGGCAGAGTTAAGGGTCTAGTTCCGCAATAAGGGCCCTGAATATGGGCCCTTAGCCGTTAATGGTACTTGCATGGTATATAGCAGGTAAACAAGGCTCCCGGCATTAAGGGCCCATCTTTGCAATCAGGACTAGATAAGTAGGTCTGATGGGCAATGATGGGATCAATCTTGGTCGCTGTGAAGTCGTGCTACGATGAGTGCTCCTTACAACAATACCTGTGTTCCTCTCTCACAATATGGGGGCTTCCCAAAATTAGGGGTACCTTTCTGCGGGTCCATATAATAAGGAGTATAGTGACTATAGTATATTGGGGTCCCTCTATTTTGGGAAACTACCATATCTGGCTAGCAAATGCCTGCCATTCTTCCCCAAGTGTCTGAAACCTGCCAGGGCACAGGAAGCCCTTTCCGATGATGCAGCTGGCAGCTGTGAAATTTGACTAGTTCGACTTTAGGGTTTAGGGTTTAGGATGTTTTCACCTTCTCTGTACATATGCCTCTGCAGACGGGCAGTGTCGGCCGCCTGCGCATTGCACCGCAGCTGACCTGTTGGGTGTAAGCCTGCACCGAAAAAGTCATCTATTTCTTATTATTACCATCGTCATTGCTATTCTGCTATTCTGCTTATCATTAACCCTAATATAACCCTAAACCCTAAATGGTAGTTTCCATTTTATTTTCCATTACCCCAATATAACCCCAATATTACCCCATATGTTCCCTAGTTTCCATTTCATTTTCCATGTTCTTTTCCATTTGATTCTCAATTATAATAGTTTCCATTTTCTCTTCCATTATCCCAATAGAACCCCAATGTATACCCGATAATCCCTACATCAGCCCTATAGAATCCCTATAATCCCTATAGTTTCCATTTTCTTTTTCATTATCCCAATAGAACTCCAATATACTATACAGGCACTGCGTCGCCTCAGTTTCACCCGACATGACGCACGTTTCACCCCGCAGGAAAAGTGAGGTGTGGCAGCGGGGTCGCAAGTGGAGCTGAGTAACCTTTAGAAATGTCCCGTATAAATATATATATAGAGTACATATATAGATATAGGGTAGTTTCCCACTATAGACCCCAAAATAGTATCATCCTTACCATGGGGACTCCAAATAAGGTATACCGAATTTTGGTAAAACCAAAAATATATGCTATATATATGTATATATATATGCACATAAAGATATAGATATTTAGGAATCCATTGGTGTAAATTCAGTCCTTCAGCGAAGTACTTGCAATTGAAAGCAGTGACGAGTGGAGGCTCCTCAGCCCAGCCTTGGATGCTGTGATGCGCCTTGGCAGGGATAATATAGGGTAATGTTGGGGTTATATTGATAATGGAAAAGAAAATGGAAACCACAGGGACTATAGGGATTATATTTGGGTTATTTATGGAATAAATGTTGGGACAGTGGAAAATAGAATGGATGCCACTATAGTGGTTTATATAGTGATGATATTCTATTGCTGCATAGACCACAAAGTTAGTCATCCAAAGGTTCACAAGACATTCAGGCCCCAACAGTGTCTCATGACCTGATTTATTTTCATGTGGCACACTGCCAGCACGAAACTGCAAGCATCGGCCCTGTGGCAAGACTAACTTCCAGTCCTCAGCAGTTGTGTTGTTGCAAAGGCCTTTCCGGTGCGGAGGGCGGGGCAGCTGGCTCAGCGCTGGTCACGGTATGTGTCAAGATGGGGGTACTGATGACTTCAGCAGGCACCAATCATGATCACAGGGTATGCATGCATATCCACGGGAACAGCTTGAGCGTGCGCAACATCCTTTCGGAGGCGTGTCTTCTGCAAGCTCTGGATCTTGAACTGTTCAGGGCTTTAGGGCACCCCCCTCATCTGGTTGAAGGAGGAGAGCGTCATCAGACTTCGACTAGGGTGCCCTGGTACACCGGCTACGCCACAAACAACCACTTCAGAGATACATCTTAGAGTAACTTGCCAAGGAAGTCAAGGTCCCTAGCAGCCAGAGAACCCAATAGAGATGCATAGATGCATTTCAATTAATGTATAGATGGTTGTTGTCTTTGCATTGAGGTTAGTTGAGAGGAAGAAGCAGTACATTAGAAACACGTCAATGACAGGTTTCGATGTCTGGGGCTGCATCCCAAAGCTGCATTTGCCATGCAGCTGTGATTGCTCAGCAGTGGCAGAGATTCAGAAGAAACATCCGCAACGAAGGATAGGCGCCAGATATTCATGTGAAATCCAAGGCATTTTTGTATAAGCGATATGGTAGTTTTTTAAATAGGGGGACCCCAATATAGACCCCAAAATACTATAAGCCTTATTATTGGGACCCCCCAAAATGGTACCCCTAATTTGGAAAATCCCCATATTGAGTTGTTGTCAAGTCTCGCTTCTGAAAATGTTCGGGCGCTTTCGCGTGGACCCCGTGGCGTTGGGAAATGCCGACCCCGAGTGGCGGAACGATCGCCCTCAGGTTGGCGATTTCAGGGGAATATGTCTGTATATAGATATATAATATTAAGAAACATGTAGCAATAATAGGAATAATACGAATAATACTAACAGTAATAACAATACTAGTAGTACTAAGAAACTTCATCCCTAAACATCCCTGAGCCCAACATAGATCCATCCCTGAGCCCCAAATCCTTAGTCTCCTCAACCCTAAGCCCTAAACCCGAAGCCCCGAACCGCGTTGCAAAGCTTGTATCAGGCCCCACCCGAGCTCGGCATCGTTGAAGCAGATCCTTATGGCACATCTGGTTCCAGGCCACTTCTGTTTTTTGAAGGTTTCAAGTATGGGCCCCTAGCCCTGTATAGATTATGTAAGAGGTGTATAATGATCCCAGTCTAAAGATTAGATTTTTTGTGTCGGTGCCGTAGTTCCTCGCCTTTTTGTTGTTTTGTTTCTTCTAGCAGGAAGTGTGTGTGGGCCATGATGCTCATCTCGATCCTGCTGATTTTGCACGTGCAGCGTGACCGGTACATCGAGGCACTCCGGTGGCACGGCGGCATCGTCGACCACGGGCCTCCGCTGGCCTGGGAGGTTCAGCCGATTGTCTTGTCCAACGACACCTACGAAGCCACTTTTTTGGCGCCCTCCCTTCGCCGTGCCTCCACTTTCGTGAAGCTCGAAGCAGGGGCTCCTATGGCGGTGAACGGTCTGGCCAGCACTGTGTTCTCCAGCAACTCCAGTTCCGCGAATGCTTCCCATCAAGTGGTGTTTAGCAGCGGTGTGAGCTCGCTGGTCGTGGGCTCCTCCAGCCTTCGAGGCGCCTGCTCTGCGGCCTCTTCCTCGGCTCCCTGTTTCGTGGCGGTGCAGCGCGCGCCGCGCGTGGACTCGAGCACGGACCCTCCCTCTCCGGACACTGGGAAAAGCCCTCCCAGCTTGAGCGGCCTCAGCTGCCACCGCTTCGTCGCAGGCGCCTCGGTGGAGGCCCTGGCACCGCTGTCTTTGCAAAGCGCGTTGTGTGTGAAGTCGCAGCAGATCTATGCAGCCATGGCCACGGGGAACCATTCAGAGGTCGTTGTCGCCTGGGATCCACACGAGGCCAAAGCGGAGCCTCCTAAGTCCTGTCTGGCTCTGGTGGCTTTCCCGAGTATGCAGTTGCCGGGTTACTGTTAAGGAATTTCGATCAGGTTACACTAGTATGGCTATATGGTAGGCATTAGGGTTTCCTTCTTAGATTAATTTTTAGGCTACAATACTATGGGTGTATGGTAAGCAATATAGAACCCCAATATACTATGATAGTTTCCATTTTCTTTTCCATTATTCCATACAGAACCCCAATATACTATAATAGTTTCCATTTTCTTTTCCATTATCCCCAATATAACCCCAATATTGCCCCATGTATTCCCCAGTTTCCATTTCATTTTCCATTTTCTTTTCCATTTGATTCTCCATTATAATAGTTTCCATTTTCTTTTCCATTATCCCCCAATATACCCTAAACCCTAAACCCTAAATCCTAAACCCTAAACCCTAAATCTTAAACCCTAAACCCTAAACCCTAAACCCTATTTCCATTTTTTCCATTAAAGAAAATCTCCTAAACACAAACAAAGGATGATGGGGAGCTTGGCTGTAGATCTGGCATCCTCCGTGTTGCATGACACTGGGTTGCTGTTAAGGAACTAAGTTACCATAAGGGGTATGTATAGTGGGAGTTTAGGGTTAAGGGTTTAGGGTTTAGGGTTTAGGGTTTAGGGAATTAATTGGGTTTCCCCAATATAGTAACTTAAAATTAAGTTCCTGTAAATCCCTATATTACCCCAGTTTCCATTTCATTTTCCATTTTCTCTTCCATTTGATTCTCCATTGTAGGGGAACCCAGGATAGGGTCACGGGCTCCATCATCATGCTGGGTTTCTCCGCCTCCCAGACGATTGTGGCAGACCAGTACCATGCAGCGACCCTGAAGCCGATGTTGCGATATTCGATACCAATTTCCGTTGCCTGGCTACTGCATGCTCCGAAGGTGTCAGATGGCTACCTGCTTTTCCTTGGCTCCGAAGCCCCCTTTGTGGGCAGTATATTCGCTGTTGACCTGCGCCGCCAGCTTATCTACCAACAGGACCCTAAACCCTAAACCCTAAACCCTTAAACCCTAAACCCTTAACCCCTTAAACCCTAAACCCTAAACCGCAATGTTACAAGAGCAAGAGCAGGGCAAAGTGAGACCTGAAGGAGCCTTAAACCAACCCCACTCCCAATGTCCCTCTTGCCTCGCTGTGCCTGCCCTTCCCTTTTCTAGGCTTTCAGGTTTAGGGGCTTAGGGTTAGGGATTTAGGGGTGAGGGTTTAGGGATTTAGGATTTCCCTTGCCTTGCTTTTTTCTCCTGCCGCGGACTAGAGTCTATTGGGGTTATAGTAGGCTTATACACATAGAGCATCCGGGTTGCCTGTCATGGTCAGCTGGGGGGGTGTTTGGAGTATAGTCTCCCTTAAGTAGATAGCATGCAGGGGTGATATAGGGACTTCTTGGGGATGATGCAAAATAAAGTGGAAACTACGATTTAGGGTTTAGGGTTGGGGTTACTTGGGGATAATGGCAGATAAGATGGAAACTACTATTTAGGGTTAAAGGGGACTATAGGCAGCAGCAATATTCAAAAGTCTCCACAAACCGAACCCTAAACCCTAAACCCTAAACCCCAGCACCTTGGATCAGCATTTCCTTGTGGTCTCGCTACTGCTGCTTTCCGCTGAACAGCTCGCTTCTAGGTAGTCAGACAGCAAGCCAGAGAAACCCTAAACCCTAAACCCCTGAACCCTAAACCCTAAACCCCAAACCCTAAACCCTAAATCCTAAACCCTAAACCCTAAGCCCCCTAAATGTGCTATCCTGCCCTCACTATTGATTAGGCAGGGGATGCTTTTCATGATTGGGGAAACGACTGCAGCTGCTGAGCGATGGTCGGGGTTGCTGCAGGTTTCCACCAAAAAGACGATGCGTGTTTCCGGTGTATCCTAGGAGGCATGATGAGGATGGACTGTAGGCTGAGTGGTTTTGATTGGGAACTGGAACACCCTCACCAGTTACGAGAGCATTCACATCACTTGCCAAACTTGGAAAACCATAGCACACTCACCAACCTTCCCATGGCTATTCCGGCTCAGAAAACTAAACAAAATGGGCCACGGTGAGGCCGCGTTTGTTCTCCACATTTCTTGCTTATTTAGTGTTCTTATTGTCGAGTGCGTTGATGGAAACAATTGCACTCACACGGTCTTTTTACATCGCATGGAGGGCTTGCTTTGTCCGCACCGCTCGCAACTTTCAGGGTTCTATCGATGCAGTTCCTCACTCCCTTAATCAAGCGTTCTCCAGCCGCCAGCTATTGATGCACACATTCCCGGCCATACAGTCTGCCCGGAGCTTTCAACAGCTGTCGTTCATTCATGCCCTTTAACCAAAAGTTTCAGATGCTTGCCCTCATTCTTCATTGAAAATGTGACCTGCAGACTTTGTCTCAAGCCTGCCAGTCTGTATCTTTCGTGTAATGAGTTCAGAGCGCACTGGTAGCTCATGAGGCAACTGGCGCCTGTGTACTGCAGATTCTTCACCCCCCCTGCAGGATCCACCATCGGGGCCGCATACGCAGCGGCCACGCCGCTGGGTGCTCCCCTATGAGAGCCTGAGCCATCGAATGATTTCGTGTCACGTGTCTTTTGCTGAAGTAGGCTGGGTTTGTTCTTGTTCGCATGGCGACATGTGAGGAAATTTGTGGAGCGCCTCTCTGACCGCATCCGGCTGCCAAGCTCCGGTGCAGGTGCAGTTCAAACTCTGGAACATTGTGCTGAGGGGAAGTGTTCCTGTTACTATGACTCAGACTATTATGTTTACAGCTCTATGTTTATGTACTGCGATTAGTGTTAGCACTACTATTGCTGGTATTATTGCTATTATGCTGATTATGTATATTTGTATTCAGGAAAACCAGAGCTAGACTTGAGTCAGCACACAGCCCGTTGTTGCATCTGCATTTTTGGACAACCCATTCCCAGCACTGGCAACCCCGGCCTCTGAACACTCATGTGAGCTACGAACTAAAGTTAGGTTGGGGGGGACCTATAGGGGAATATACAGGGTTTCAAGGGGGAATCTATTAAGGAATGTACAGTACCAGGACTGTAGTCCAGGGCTCATGTGTGAGTTTTGACAAGTAATTCCTGTGCAATCCTTAAGGAATTAAAGGGTGGATTTAGTGTTTAGGGTTTACCCCTATAATCCCTCTGCATCCTCAAAATTCCACAACAGCCAGCCTTTTTGAGATCCCCCCTTTCTTGAAGGCTCCGATTCACCGTGCGCTGCGGTGTCCTTGGCTGAGAGGGGGCTTTTCCCTACAGTGCCTGCGGCCCTCTCCAGCGACAGGTTGGATTTGCTCGAGAATGGAGGGGATTTAGGGTACACTGGGGTTTAGGGTTCAGGATTTATAGGGCTTAGGGTTTACAGGGTTGTTCAGGGTTTATAGGGTTGTTCAGGGTTTATAGGGTTGTTTAGGGTTTATAGGGTTGTTTAGGGTTTGTCGGGTTTAGGGTTTATAGGGTTCAGGTTTAGGGATATTATGGGAGTCAAGGGTTTAGGGTTTAGGGATACACAAAAACATGGAGATTCAAATGGAAGAGATAATGGCAAATTAAGTGGAAACGTACATCTCGGGTTTAGGGACCCCGAATGTGCAGGACACATGGGGGATCCAGGTGCCTGACGGGGCTATAACACCCTTAGGCTCTTGTACCTTAATTCCTCCATTACCCTAAACCCTAAACCCTAAGCCCTAAACCATGAACCCTAAACCTGTTACGCAACATGCAGCCAAGTGATGATGCAGTCCGTCCCACAAGATATCTTGTCGGAGTCCTCAAACGAAACTGTCATGGGTCCAGCGGTTGGCAAAATCCTTCGAGGATCTTTCATGGGTATTAATGGCTAAGAAGAGTAAGAGTAAGAGTAATAGCAGTACAAAAGTTGAATAGTGACTGCGATGCTGCCCTTGCAGGCAAGGGCGAGCGGAAGACAGCAGATGAGAGTCACGATGCAACATGCCTTGAAAAAACTGCATCCGGCTGAAGGCCAAGACAGGTGTAGGATCTCTTTCCCGTTGCGATAACTTTCTCGCGTTGATCCAAAGTAAGGCAGCTTGGACCTTGGACATTGAGGTCTTGCCCACGAGCTTCCACTTTTGCGGAAAGATATCAAGTAGACGGTCGAGAGATGCGCAGCAAGTAATCCCATCCATTTTTTCAGCAACCTCTGTCGACCAAAAAAGAATCTCCTCACCCAAGCAGGCGTCACAGACCCCCGTCCCAAGCTGCACTTAAGCCGAAACCCGGAATGCCAAGTGTGCAGACAGACATCAGATAGAGACTGCACCCTGTTTAAGCTTACCCTTGGTTACCTAGGAATCAAGGAATGGATCCTTGTAGTAGTCCATATATAACCCATTGTAATAGTTTCCATTTTTTCATTCCCAGCTAACCAATGGCCAGTAAGAGCAACCGCCGGCGCGGAATCTGGCTGAGGCCCGGTCTTCCTTCCGAAGTTGTCATCAAACGAGATGGCACGTGGTTGCAAAGGCCCACCAGCTTGAGAAGCACACATGAGCTGTAGTCTAAACTCCTTAAAGGAGGTTATATAAAGGATTATATAGGGGACTAGTATAGGGGTTATTCAGGGGATACTAGGAGTTTAGACTATGGCTCACACGTGTGCCTGTTGTCAAAGCGCAGTCTGTCGCTGATTTGACCCGTGTCTGAACTGCGCCTCTGCCTTTGCAAATTGGTCACTCATGTTTGCAAGGGTGTCGGGTTCAATGAACTTGTAAAGGGCTTGTCAACAAAGACGTTACGCAATCGACACATGTGGGCAAGTGAGCATGCATGTAGCAGACAATTGCAAGTCCATCAGCAAGTGCGAATGTTTTGGATGACGGCGAATTACATGGTTTCCACAAAAAGTGGCCACAAAACAGACGCCAATATACGCAAATCCTCACGATAAGGATTCCTTTTTTCGAAACGTGGGTATCTCACCAGTTAGGGGCCCTTAAGCCTGCCTTTACAACGCCATGCCCCGGCGCGGCGACTCCCGCCGCCGCAGCGACTCAAGGCCAGGTTTTTCCTTTGAGGATGTTAGTGGGATTTAGATATTTGGGGTTATATAGGGGTCATGGAAAATAAAAGGGAAACCTACAATATTGGGGTTTAGGGTTTAGGGCTTAAGGGTAAAGTTTAAGGTTTAGGGTTTAGGAGTTTTATGCAACCCTACTTTCCCTCCTGAACCCTAAACCCTAAACCCTAAACCCTAAACCCTATTAATCTGCCAGGGACTACAGGCGCTCTCCTCCCAGACGGCGCTCACCCTCCAGGACCGACTGAAGCATCCCCAAACCCGAAGCTTAGATGGGGATTTCTGAAAATAGGGGTCTAGGGTTTAAGGTTTAGGGTTTAGGGTTTAGGGTTTAGGGGTCCCCCGTATACAGCCCAAAGGATGTTGATCCTGATCATAACCACCCCCAATAATGAGCCTCAAAGCTCCAAAAGTAGTTTCCATTTTATTTTCCTTTTTTTCCCTCTATCGCCTCAATATACTATACTATAGTAGTTTCCATTTTATTTTCCCCTTATTCCCTACATAACCCCTATATACTATACTAGTTTCCACTTTTTGAGGCGCCGATCCCCTCCTCCGCGACGCTCGCGGTCGCGCTCGAGGAGAGCTCGCGGAAGATTTGCGCCTCCTACGACAGGGGCCTAAATAATTAGCAATATCATTTTGAGGTCCATTCGAGGTACCATATACTATATTTATTCAAGGAATATGGAACCATAATATTGGTAATTATTTAGGCCCCTTTATTAGTTCTGACATTTCTCAAGAAGCTTTTCATTTTCCATATAACCCCAATATAGGGTTTAGGGTTTGGGGTTTGGGCTTAGTAGTTTCCATTCCATTTTCCATTATTCCCTATACAACCCCAATATGCTATAGTAGTTTCCATTTCATTTTGGATTCTTCCCTACATATCAATAAACCCAGTTTCTGCATTTTCCATTGTCTATCCCTTTGGATCTTCATTCTTTGTATTTATTTAGGCCCCTACATCTTCAAACTAGTAGTTCAGCACAGAAGCAGAGCTGTCATGTTGGTTAAGTTAGCAGTTCCTAAAAGAAAGTAAGACAAAACCCTAGAGTACAGTAGGGCATATCTAGCAGTGTATAGTAGCATGCTAGGACAGACCACGACGTCGTACAACCCGAACACTGGCTCAAGGAAATTGGCATCTCCTTGTACAACATACTATAGTAGTTTCCATTTCTGTTCCATTCTCCCTATATAGCCCCAAAATACTACAGTAGTTTCTATTCTCTTTCCCATTCTCCCTATTTCGCCTCATTGTTTCTAGTGTGTTCAACTTGAGAACGCCGAATGCGTTTTGAAGCTGTCACACCACTGCAGACAGCGCATTTGTGTTTTCATATTGGGAATAATGGAAAATAGCATGGAAACTGCTATGGTATAGTGGGGTTACATAGGGAATAGTGCAAATTACATCCTGGAACCTTCATAATGGATGAGTCCTGAGTGTTTCAGATGATCGCGGGCCAAGTCAAAGTCGATGAGCGTGTTATTCATGATTGGCCAAGGAGTGCAGAAAGTCTAAGGGTTTAGGGTTTAGGGTTGAAGATTTAGAGTTTAGGGTCAACATGTTGTCTCTGTGCAGTGTAGTAGCGGGCTCCCATCAAACACAAAGGCCCCAATGATCCAGGAGCCCGGTCAGGAAGTCCCCGGTGAAGGCTGTACGGGACTGAGCCAAGTGTCAGGAACTGCACAGGAGGAGCTTTTCTCAAGACATACCTACAAAAACCGTAGGCGTATGTCAATGTATCCTCAGGGTCCCTGAGTATCCTTTGGGTTAAACCCTAAACCCTAAATAGTAGCTTCCATTTTCTTTTCCATCATCCCTATATCATCTTATATTATCCCTTTATATCCCGGGTACTCCTGTGCTGGGGAATCCCCAAAAGTGAGCAGAAATCTGCTTTTGCTCAGGCCCCAAGTGCCTCTGGTACGGAGTTGCCAGGGGACATTGGCAAGGCAGTTGCAGAAGCGGACAATTTTAGGGTGAGCTAGAGTCTAAACTCCTTAAGTGCGGGGTATATAGAGGATTAGAAAGGGGACCACTATGGGGAGTTATCATGGGGGATACTAGGAGTTTAGATCTTAAACCCCAAACCCTATATTATATATGATGGGGGTTATCAAGCGGGATGTTAAGAGTTCAGACTCAGCTCTGGTAGTTTGTGGAAAAGTGGAGTTATGGCTTCTTGCAGCAATCCACAATTTTCATGCCTTTATGGTAGATTTTCGAAATAGTTCAGGATTTAGGGTTTAGGTTTGATGGTTTAGGGGTTATACTAGTTTCCCAATTAAGGGGGACCCCAATATAGACACTAATGTAGGGTAACCCCCATATCCCATTCCTTCATTCCAGACAAAGCGCCCGCAAGGAAAGCAACAAGCAAGATGGGAGTTTCTCAACATAGCCCCACAAAATGCTTGACAGAACCCTTCATAATCTCCTCACTATCCACAGAAACGCCCAGGGTGGCTAGGGTGGCCAATTGCTGAGCAATTGTTACGTATGTTACCCCTAAACCCTAAACCCTAAACACTACACCCTGAGACCTAAACCCTGAACCTTAAACCCTAATAAACCCTAAACCCTAAACCTAAACCCGAATAAACCCTAAACCACCCTAAACCTTAATAAACCCTAATAAACCCTAAACCTTAAACCCTAAACCCTAGTGTTTGCATTCAGGCGGAGGTAGTGGCTGGCAAGCCAAGGCCAAGCACTGGCGAGCAGTTCGGCGCTCAAGGTCTTCTTGTTGCTGTTGGGGAACTGACATTAAGTAACCATAATATATTGGGATAATGGAGAATCAAATGGAAAAGAAAATGGAAAATGAAATGGAAACTACTATAATGGGTTATATATGGGTATACAGGGTATATAAGGTTTGGGGTTGAAGCTTAGGGTTTCGGGTGGCATGATAATGGAAAAGACAATGGAAACTACTATTTAGGGTTAAGGATTTCAGTGACCATAATGGGTATACATAGTAAATAATAGGGTTGCCCCAATATAGTAACCTAACTTAAGCTCCTTAACAGCAACCCAGTTTGGGAAGGTTCTGTTTCCTTTTCTTTGAAAACCAAGGACGTGGCGGGCAGAGATCATGATGCCTCAAGGCCCGAACAGTTTACACACATGGGCTGTTCTCAAAATTATGGGAACCCTAAACCCTAAACCGTAAATCCTGCCAAAACGGGACCCTGATTTTGGGAACTACCCATGTCATGGCCGTGGAAGATTTCTTGACCTGAGCTTCTCAAAGACCTCTTCTGATCCACCTGGCAGTTGGGCTTGGAGAGAAGGGCGGTGCTTACAACTACGGTGGCAAGGCCTTTGGGGATATAGGGGATAAGGGAAGATAATCCCGAGATATTATATAGAAATATATATAGTTAGGGTTTAGGGGTTTAGGGTTGGGGATAGGGTGTATCTTGGGGTTAGGGAATATGCGAATGTAGGGGTTGTATGGGGGTAACGAAAAGAAGCTACTACTTTATAATCGGGTATCTATTGGGGTTATTTGATATAGGGGATAAGGGAATATAATCGCTAATATATATATATATATTTATATATGTGCATATCTATACATATGCATATTATATATAGGATTTAGGGATTCGGGTCTACGGATTAGGGTTGTGCATTAGACGGGCTTTGCAGTTTCTGAGGCAAGGGCTTGAGGCGGCTGCGACATTTCTGGGATTTGCGCTTCCTGAGATGCTTAGGCTTACTGGTGGTTTGTAGAGAATCAGTGAAATTAATCGCTGTAGAATCCCTTTAACAAATCCATTCTTCCCTACTAACCCTAGACCTTAAACCATATATATAGTATAATATAATATGATATAATATTATGTATAATATATATATATATATTCTAGAGGGATTATATTCCCGGATCCCCTACAGTAACTGCCAGTCTGCTTAGGTCCCAGCAGGGCAAGAACTGGGTGAGTGAACAGCTGTCTGCAGCATTCAGGACACTTGAGTCATATGGGGGTTTCCCAAAATTATGGGGTACAGTACCTTTCAAAAGAAGTTTATAGGGGATATGTAGGGGTTATATAGGGGGTTATATAGGGTTTAGGTTTCCCAAAATTCAAGATGCTTCTTTGGGGTCACCATGAAATAAGATTTGGGTCTCCCTATATGCCCCAATTACACCCTGGAGTATAGGAGCCTTGAAAAAGGAACCTTGGTTTTCGGAAACCTAAGCCCCAGGAACCCCTGTAGTAGTCCCCTCAATAATCACCTATATGACCCCTACAAGGAGTTGAGACCATATCTCATATCTGTGCCTGGAACGCTTGTCGCAAAGCCTTCAAGCAGGTGGCCGTTCAAAGCAGTAGCTTCGACAACCCCAAAATTAGGGGGTACCTTTAAAGGTCTTATAGGGTATATGTAAGGGTTATATAGGGGGTTGTATAGGGTGGGATACTAGGAGCTTAGACTATGGCTCATATAGGCTACCACGAAGAAACGCTTGCAGAGCTGAATCTTGTTGTTGGAACTCTAAACCCTAAAACCTAGGACCTAAGCGCTAAACCCTAATAGAAAACAATTTAAACCTAAAATCTAAACCTTGAATTTTCAAACTTAACCCAAAAACCCTAAAGCCTAAAGCCGCAAACCCTAAACCCAATCTAAACCCTAAATTTTCAAACCTAAACCCAGGATGTCTTAAAATTCAATTCTGGCATTCCGAGCCTTGCGGTGAGGTGCGGACGATGTGCATCCGAGGGCCGCATAGAGTTGACAAACAACAGGCCAGCGGTCATGACCTACCTTAAAAGGGGGATATATGGGGATATAGGGTTTAGGGTTTAGGATTTAGGGTTTAGGATTTAGGGTTTAGGGGTTTGTTGGGGCTATATTGGGGTTCTATGGGGATTATATTGGGATATTGGGGGTTATATAGGGGTTATGTAGGGGTTTTATGGGCCATGACCTACCTTACAAGAGGGTTCGAAAAGGGGTTATATAGGGATTTTGTTGGGGTTATATTGGGGGGTTACATAGGGGTGATATTGGGGTTCTATGGCTCTAAACCCGAAACCCTAAACCCTGAACCCTGAACCCTAAACCCCTAAACCCTAAACCCTAAACTCTATGGGGGTTAGAATCTAAACCATATTGCTTGGCTCTGGAGCAAGGCGGAAGAGGATGCAGCCAAGCTGGAGGAGGCTGCCAAGGACAACGACACGCGGAAGGTGAAGGCAAAGACACTTGGGGTTTGGGGTTTGAGGTTTAGGGTTTAGGGTTGAGGGTTTAGGGGTACCATTTTGGGGGTCTTGGACTACTATTATACAGAGGTTTCCCAAAATCAGGGGTACCTTTAAAGGGGATTATAGGGCTTATATAGGGGTTATGTAGGGATATGGGGTTCAGGGTTCAGGGTTTCCCAAAGGTAGGGTACCATTTTGGGGGTCTTTATAATAAGGACTATAGTATATTGGGGTCTATATTGGGGTCCCCCTATTTTGGGAAACTACCTTATAAGGGTAATCTAAGGGTTGTATAAGGGTTGATGGAAACTACTACATAGTATGTTGGGGTTATATAGGGATAATGGACAAGAAAATGGAAGGTACAGGGACTCTAGGGGTTATAGCGAGTTATTTTGGGACAGTGGAAAGCTGGAATCTACTATTTAGGGTCAACCTACTAAGCCTCAGTAGCGTGATTAAGGTCATGGTGGTGTTCAGGACTTCTTTGCCTTGATCCGAGCATACTAGTAAAGGAGAATGGAGTAAAGGAGGCTCATAGTCCCCCTTACGTAGATAGAATATGGTTTTGGGTATATTCTAATAAGATCCCCATATACCCCATCTTCTATCTACTTAGGGGGGACCGTATGGTTTAGGGTTTGTACGGATGTTTGACCTGTTTGACCAGATCCCACATACGAGTGTTTCTGCGGAAGCACGTTGCATAATATAATCCCTATATAACCCATACATGACTCCTATATAACCCCTGTACAACCCCTGTATAACTCCTATATCACCCCTATGTAACCCCAATACGACCCCAATATAACCCCTATATAGCCCCCTGTATAACCCCTATATAACCCCTATGAAGACAACTGATTGCTGGGAAGCATGCAAGGCCATCGCAAACGACATGGTGCGGGGTGGAGCGCGCTAGCATCCTTGCAGCACAATGGCCATAAGGGTTTAGGGTTGAGGGTTTGGGATGAATCAAATTACCATAATATGGGTATGTAGGGTTTAGGCTACCATAGTATGGGTCTATAGAGTTTAGGCTACCATAATATGGGTCTATAGGGTTTAGGCTACCATAATATGGGTCTATAGGGTTTAGGATACCATAATATGGGCATGTAGGGTTTAGGCTACCAAATATGGGTATGTAGGGTCTAGGAGGTAGTACGGTTCCTTTCTTAGCTACGATCTCCTAAAGGGGAAGTGTCTTCCCAGTGGCGCCTCCTATGAAAGGATCTTCAGAGCAACCCCCACACGTGGCATACCCTAAACCCTAAATCTTAAGCCCTGAACCCTAAATTCTGAACCCTAGACCCTAAATCCTAGACCCTAAATCCTGAACCCTAAACCCTAACCCCTAAATCCTAAGCCCTGAACCCTAAATCCTGACCCCCAAACCCTAAATCCTAAACCCTAAACCCTAAATCCTGAACCCTAAACCAGACGGAAAAGGGGGGTGAACAAATAAAAAAATCCTAAACCCTAAATCCTAAATTCTATTTGGACCGTTGCTCCGTTGCCGAGGCAGAACCGAACTTATTTGGGGCTTCAGTGCCACAGCTCGGAAAAAGTCTGCCCTGCTTGCGACTCCTTGCATTATAATAGGGGTTATATCGGGGATCATATAGATGTAAGCTACTGTGTCATACTGGAGTATATATTGGGATTATACAGGGATAATGGAAAAGAAAATGGAAACTGCTCCATTATAACAGGTTGTTTATAGATAGGGAGTATCCAGGGACAATGGAAAACAGCATGGAAACTACCGCAATATTGCAATAGGTTGTTTATATATATATATGGAGTATACCGAAACCCTGAACCCCCCCAAAACCTGGTCAAATCAGATCCCTCCTGCGCGCGAGGCTTGCCGGCAGGAGACCAGACCATGGACGAGTAGACAGGTGTGGTATTGCCAAAAACCTGGCTTTGTGTTGAGGAACTTAGACTCCCTGGTGCTCAGGAGGAAATGGGGGAATGGATCCCTGTAGTAGTCCCCATATAATCCTTGATAATAATTCTTGTAGTCCATTCCCCCATTCCCTCCTGAGCACCAGGGAGTAGATTAAGTTACCAGAAGAGGGATATTTAGGGTTTAGGGCTTAAGGTTCAGGGTTTAAGTTGCCATACTATAGGTATACAGTAAATTCTTATCATAATAGATAAGTTAAATTCCTGCACAACCATGCAGAAGCTGAACCTCGCGTTTGATCCTGAAAAACAGTGTTTATATATCGGGAGTATACAAGGATAATGGAAAAGAGCATGGAAACTACTACTACATTATAACAGGTTGAAAAAATCATATAGGGAGTATGTAAGGATAATGGAAAAGAGCATGGAAACTATTACTACATTATAAGAGGTTGTTTATATATATATATATTTATACATATGTAGGGAGTATATAAGGAGAATGGAAAAGAGCATGGAAACTTGATATTACAATAATGACAGAGCTGTTTTGGCATTTCCTTCAGGTCCCCTTCCAGCAGCATCTTGTGAGACTGCGCGGAGGAACTTGCCGGTCCAAGATGGACTTGGTCCAGTAAGAAAAGGATTTTGGTAACTCCAACCCCCAAAATGAGGACCCTATCATAGTCAAAAGCCAGTTATAGGGTCCTAATTTTGGGGGTTGGGGTTACCGAAATTCCCTTCAAATCCATGGCATTCCATGGCATTCCTTCGTGCCTTGTGCAAAATGCGATCCCTTGTTGAGAATTCCTCAAGATGAAGATGTATAACGGGAGGAGGTCAAAGTTGTGGTCCCTTTTCGGGTCCGTTGTATATTTGAGCGCCGAAGGCTTAGGGTATCCCCAAGGACAGCATGTGTGAAATCCAGCATACAGGCATTTTGAGGGGATTATAATTAACCCTAAACCCTAAACCCTTCTAGGTTTTCATGGAGCAAAGGCTTTCACAGGCAGAGTTCTGAGAAACTTTCACATCTTTTGTGCACTTTTATTATTCAGCAAAATCAAGTCCCCCAAGACCACCTTCGGATTGACCAAGACAGCATAAGGCGGACATAGAGACTGCACGAAGAAACACACCCCAAAACCATGACTACAACCCCGTAAAACCTGCAAAATGCATATGCCAGCTTAGTAGATGGATTCTGGCCGTGAAACATGTGATGAAAGTTGGAAAGTCCAGCTTTTCCCCACAAGACGCAAAGCCGCAATGCATCTTAGGAAGTTTGTGTACTATATTCGGGAAACCCAACTTGAGCTACTATATTGGGGGAAACCTTATTATTTTCTCCGCATTTTTTTACGAGCTGTCTTGTGCAATGTGTTTGTTCAGAGATGCAAATGCAGGCTGCCGCGTAATGGAAAAACACATGCAACTTGGCTGTCAAATTTCACGGGAGAAGATGGAGTTGCCCTTTGACTTGCCCTGTGGCAGGGTGCCCGCTTGGTTTGTGGCTAAGATGGCACAATTTCTGTTTGAAAAGTGATCAGGCAGGAACAGCCGGCAGAATTTCAAGTATTTTCCATGTTGGTTGTTTACTTGAACTTGTTTTGGCTCTGCATTTATAGCAGTTTGGCCCTAGAGACATTCGTTGTCCATTTGGCCTTACTTGTCATTGCTGTCGGCCACGGTCGTGGACTCAGACGCGATCCGAAGCCAATGGTGGGTGTTGAACAGCACTATCACTATAACTATTGCTGTTACTAGTACTATTTTTACTTCTGTCACAATTATTATTACTACTACTACCCCTCCTACTACTACGACTATTACTACAACTACAATGACTATTATATCTATTTTTTATGGTTATTGCTATCATTACTATTTGTGGAGAGTCGGCTTCCCTTGCCTGTGTGTGATTGACATGACGCCATGCACACACAGCCAAGAGAACACAGGTGGCTGCGATGGAGCAAGCCGGTCACGTGGAGGAGGCATGGTGTTTATAGAAATAGTAATACTAGTAGTAACAGAAATAGTAGGAATATTAAGAATTCAGTAATGGTAGTAGGAATAGAGAATAACGGAAAGATTATGATTTCGGTAATAGTAAGCCTATGGCTTCCCGCAGAGCGCACAGGGAAGTTTGAGCCTAACCCAGTTGAGTAGTAATTTTTTGTGGATATTATGGTACCCAATATAGAGTAAGATTATGTCTTCCTTTTTGGGTATAGTATTTTTTATAAGGATAATAATGCAGTTTTCAGGTTTTCACCTTGAGACAGCAATGTGCGCTAAGGATATTATCTTACGAGGTTCAACCACAAAAAAAACACTTCTCATTTGGGGGAATCTCTGCTCGGAGCATCAGTTGCCAAAAGGCCTCGTCACATTTCAGATGTCTTTCAGTCAAATTCCATGCGTTTGGACTGATGGCAACGTGTTGGCAGGATGACTTCTCGCAGTTCCTCTCCCAGGTGCGGAGCGAAGTGAGTGAACATCTGACGTGATAACTAACCAGGCAGACATGAGAAGCACTGCCTCCAGCAGCCCCGAAATAAAGGGGCCTAAACAGTTACCAGTATAATGGTTCCATATTCCTTAGGGTTTAGGGTTTAGGGCGTAGGGATAATTACCAATATGGTTCCATATTCCTTATATGATTTTGGCTTATGGTACTTCAAATGGACCTCAACATGATATTGGTAATTATTTAGACTCCTAAACCCTATGATAATATGGTAGTTTCCATTTTCTTTTCCATTATTCCAATATAACCCCCATATAACCCCCTAAACGCCCCTACAGCAGGGACGGTGAACATCTTGTGCTCTGTGTTGCATCTGAAGGAGAATGCAACAGCGCCGCCACAGCCCGAGGCTCTGGGCTTGGACAAGAATAAATAAATATATATATATATATATATGAGCCCGATACCTTTTGGTATTATTTAACCACGTTTGTCTCTTTACTATCATAAAACCTATTCCAATATTAAATATAATATGCATTATTAATATATTAT